TTCATAACTTTAAGATCAGAGTCCGTACCTTTATAATCACACAGTGTGGCATTCTACACAAGGCCAAGACTTCTGCTCAGCGGTTCATCTACCGCTTCTGACACTCTGCAGACCCACAGCAGGTCTTTCCGAAGGGGGCTCAAAGTTTTGGATTTAAAGATTCTGAGTGACAAAAGAAATTGCCGTTTCCCTTGGGAATCTATTCCCAGATCTAATCTGCATCCCCCAACAACTTGTATCCATTGGATCTTATGCTACCTTCAACTTTGCTAGATTAAGCGCTATCTAGTATCAGATCTCTACATAGCCTTAACAATTTATGATCACGACACATGCAAACCATCTCCTCAATAAGTAAAACATCCTGAAATTCCAGCCTCTCATCCAGTAGATTTGGTAGACCTCAAAATACTCCTGTAATATTCCTTTGCAAAAAATAAAAAAATAAAAAAAATAAAAAGGAAGCATTTTAACATCCCTTTTGACATGTGCTAACTAGAACTCAATGGTGTGCATTAATGATTTTTCTAATGCCATACACAGTGTTTTAACTCCTATTATTCATTCTTATTCCCCTGTTGACACATCCAAAGCCCTATTTGCCCATCATCCACTATGATTTCTGTTCTTCTAATTCCCTGCTTTTCCAGAATAAATGCCAGGGGTTGACCTATGCTGTCAGCTCCTAGATATATGATTTCCCCCATTAGCAATATTAAATGAGAATTTTTTTTCCCTCTATCTAGTTTACTATGTAAGCCTCATTTCTGCTGCTACTTTTGTTGAAGTAAACATACCGTGATTTTATATTTTGAAGTTGAGTATTTCTCATTTGTAAAAATAAATTGTTCTCTCAGAAACAGTAGGGTATCTTTGATTTTATTAAGAAACTCTTTCCACAGCTCCAGGTCCAGGGGACATTTAAAACATTCAGCTGAGCATCTGAAGTCCCAGGACATTACTAGTAACTGCATGCCCTCCCACAATTCCTTCTAATCTTCCATCCTTGTCTTCTTTCACTGCAGAAGACAGCTACTATACCCACCCAGAAGTTCTTTCGCAAAAGAGAATAAAATGTGCTATTAAAAAAAAAAAACCAACCTATATTCCTCCATATCATCTATCCTAAGAAGCTACATGGATCCCTGGAGGTCACTGAATGGGAAGTTAAAAGACTGCAAATCACCTGTGTGAGTATTTCTAAATGTTTACACATGGAGATACTTCTCAGAAATAAAACTGTTTCTGTTATATGGAGTGAGAGACATTATGCTTTACAAACAGAATGTTAGACGTTTTTAACAGACATCAAAATATCAGAGTCCCTCTCTTACCAGTAAAGAATGAATATTATTCAGAAGTGTTAGCGGCAAAGACAGGAGGGGCCATGACGTGTTGGAATGGCAAACGGTAGCGCAATGCTTATTTTCGAGGGAGAAATGTGCAGAGTGCAGACATGAGGCCACTTTATAAGAATGCTCCAGTGGGAGGAAAAACTCTGTAAGCAGATACATTGTTTCTTCTGATCTCTTACCCTAACTGAAGAGTTTGAAACAAAATTGAATTTTGACTTCCCCAGATCCTGGTTTAACTACTCACATACAAATTCATACCCAAATGCTAAACACGGCATAGCGACAACTGCATTTGGTCAGACCAAAGATTCATTATAAAGGGGAGGAGGAAGAAAAAAAAAAAAAAAGAGAGATAAAACATGCTGTGATGATTCCCCTAAAATTCTCTCCAACTCCACATCTGTGATTCAGGAACTTCCCAAGAAGCACATCTTTACATCCATCTCATAGCTCCCAATGGGTTTTTCTGAACTCCAACCCTATTATTTATACCCAACCTAGTAGAAGGTAACGTAAGGAAGACAGCAAACCAGTACTTCTCCTTAAATTCGTGATGTAATGTGCAGAAAATGCATTTGGCTATGCCAAAAAAAACGTGGTAGGACAGTCATGTACACCATGGAAGCCATGCAGCCCAACAGGTAAGGCTGTGATACGGAAGATTAGGAACAGATATAGATTTTGCTTTCACAGAGTAATCGTATTAGATCAGCATATCAGATTTTTTTGAAAGCTGCCAGATAAAAAACATGACCTCACTGGGGTGGAAGAAACATGTCCACAATGGCAGGAGTCCACCTCTTGCCAAGGGCAGTAAAAAGGGGAGAGTGTGTGTGTGTGTGGGGGGGGGGAACCAAACACCACCACCAACAATCTGCGTTCCATTTGACAATAATACCATTTAAAAACCACTGTCATTCAGCAGCTATACGTACTACTGCCATTTTCCTCTTGCATTGTAATTGATATCAGTAATCCTGAGTCCTGTGCTGTTTAAACTGCTTGTTGTATCCTCATGGACAGTTTAAACTTCAGGACTCAAGACAAGTTTTTTCTTTCAGTAAATCATGACTAAATTATTTTGCTGTTCATTATCACTGAAACCCTAAGTGCTTTTCAGATGCCTGTTGATTGCCTGTCGCAATCAAATGCGGCTAGAGTGCAAAAGAGAATTTGGAATAATTTTGTCTTTAAAACCAAGAAATGCTACAGAAAAATACATTGTCTTATACAGTTTGAAAAAGCTACTGAGGTTGTAGCCTTTGATTAAGGCGGCTTCTTGAGCTATTCAAGTAGGCAGACACATGACTTCAGAGGCCATCTCTACCCATGAACTCGAACAGCTGCTGGCACTTCCCCATTCACACAGAGGCAGAAACACCAGGGACAATCTCAAGGATGACCACTTGAAACGTAAGTCTTCCAGGATCCACCCAAAACGCTATGAGCTCCCAAATTCTTGGAAAATATTGTTTTTGCAAGTAGAGTCTACACTAATGCAAGGAAGACAAAATCAGAATAAACAACAAACAATGCAGAGAAGGTGCATTATTCTTGAAAACAAAAACTAGGCCTATTTAAATATATGATCATAGTGTCACAGATGATTCCTTTAACATCACATCCATCCTTCATTCCTTGCTCCAGAAGGTCTCCCAATAAGGCTGGATAGTCAGTGTAAGGACCTATTATTTCAGATTTCTTATTTGCTCCCGAGAACATACAACTACCATGAGAGTGAACATATGTCCTGAGGCCATCTGATGGAAACCCACATTCCAAGTAGTTTCTAGTTTTTGTTAAGCAATTAACAGGGTGAAGAAACCGCAAACCGAAGGCGAAAAACAGGAGTTAGAAAGTCAGGAGATTACCTAATAAGAAAAAAAGGACAGCAGCACGCTTTGGCTTCTGATCCGAGAGATGCGGACAAGCTGAGAAACGTTGGGCTCAACCAGCAAAACCCCAACTACCGGTCGCAAGACTAAACGGAATTAAGAACCCAAAGAAGGTAAGATTTCAGAAACGTGATTTTCGGGCGAGGCAAGCAGCAAAGCCTACGAGCGACTGACCTCAGCTAGCCAATAGCCCCACAAGTAAAACGAGCAAGCTGCCAGAGAGACTCCCAACCCCATTCCGTCATCCCCCTGACAACTCCGCCTGCACCACCGCCGCCACCACCTCCACCTCTCGCCTGAAGGACGGACCACAGCGTCCCCACCATCTTCACCCTACAGAAAGATGAAAGTTTCAGAGATGCGGAGACTTCCACGCCGGCCCCCATCACCAGCAAACTTCCTGCCACCCG